GACTAGTGAATTCCATTTTTCTATTTATCTGACTCCTATTTTAAAAATATAAAAGAATCACTTTATTATTAGAATCAATCAAATCAGACTCACAAATTACTAGCAAAGAACATGGAGCATATAGCCATGTCAGTACCTACAGAACATTTTTAAAAGATTTTTGAAGAGGGTGGAGAAAAAGAAAATTACTGTTGAATTTGCCAATATGCAATTGTGTCCAAAAGCTGTTTTTGTTTCTTTGTTTAAAAAGGAGGGGAGAGAAGTAATATTATGGAAAATTGTGTTTGTTCACTTGTAGTATCATAATAAAGTTTAAATATTAAGTATTATTGGTTTTATATTCTTGTGCACAAAGTGCCACCCTTTCCTTATAGTTTTCTTCTAGGACCATAATTAAGTTTATTTTGTGTTACCTCCAAGAGAAATTTAGAAGCTAAACAATTAGATGCTTTACTACAATTATTTTGGGCCAAATCCAGATGTCCTTAAGAAGTCTCTCAGTTAAGTTTTATTAGGTGAGGGCTAAGTAAAAGCAAATAAGGATTTCAGGAGTTAGTATACAACTGGAGATGAAGGGAAAAGTGCTTTCATGTAAATGAAAACTCTGTAACTGATACAACCACAAAACCAGAAAGCAAATTTTAACCAAAAAGCTCACATAGAATAAGATTCTAACCGAGATGAAGGAAGTATGATTTGCCCTAGCCCTGGAACAATAAAAATATTAATTATTATTACAATTATTGATTAATATGCTTGGGTTCTTAGGACTTTGGGCCATCAAACATCTTAAAATGGTACCAACGTCAAAAAAATAACAGTGCATGAGTGAAAAACAAAAGGCTGTTTTAAAGCAAGGGAATTACAGAAGCTAAACAGACTCAGTGATTCAGTAAAAAAAATAAAGGCATTATATGCTATGAATTATGGTAATAGTCCATCTACTCAGAAAGAAGAGGCTCCCAAATTTTGTAGGCTGCTTAAATTGGAATAGTTTAAAATGGAAGTGGAAGGAAGTGAAAAATTAAATTATGAGATCATCTGGTTAATACTTTTGAATTAATCTGGTTAATACTAGCGCCATGCAGATTCATTGAAGAAGCTTTAGAAAAAGGCAAGATACTACAAATCTCAGATGCTTTGGTACTTGAGAACTCTATGTATTTTAAACATCAACAAAGTCAAGAGCACAGTAAAGCTGATCAAAATAGAAGATACACATTTAGGACATCTTAATGTAAGGTTGCCCAAAGCCAGCAAAGATTCAGCAAATGATGTAAGGTTGTCCTAAGCAATACTAGTTTCTGAAGCAATATGTGTAATGCATTGTGTTAATCCAAAATGTAAGCGGAGCTTGTATTGGTATACAGGCAGTCCCCGGGTTACATGGATCCGACTTACATCAGATCCCTACTTACAAACGGGGTGAGGCAACCCCGCACTAGCTGCTTCCCCCCAGCAGACTAGGGAGACGCAAAGCTAGCGCCTCCCCCCCCAGCAGACCAGGGAGACGCGGAGTGGCTTTTCTCAGCAGACACCTCAGCTTGAGAATAAAGGACTGAGGGAAGTGAGGTGTGGGAGAATAAAACTGAGCTCTGGAGAAATGTTTGGCTAGAGTTTCCCCTACAATATGTACCAGTTCCGACTTACATACAAATTCAACTTAAGAACAAACCTACAGTCCCTATCTTGTACGTAACCCAGGGACTGCCTGTACTGAACCAGGGTGATATAAGTATTAAAAAAATTACTTATTAAGTGGGGATTGAGGAAATATATGAATGCTGGAAATGAACTACTAATATTAACATTAACTACTATTAACTGTAAAATAAATATTAATCATTCAACATTTGTATAGATAATAACTATACAGAGATGGAAGGGAGGTATGGCCTTGTCCTGTGGAGCCTTCAATCTAAATTAACAAACACAGAGAGCAAACAAAACAGACAAAGTAAAGTGAGTAGGTAACAGAGAGTTAAAACAGTATGGAAACAATGTATCAGAAAAGTAAAAAACCGAAGAGTTAATAGTACAGGCATATAAGTCAGTGGCAGCATGGAAAGCAAAAATTGTGGGTTTAAAGGTGAACAGAAAGGATGTTTGGTTCAGGAAAAAGGACTTTTTGACTGACATAGAGACCACCATGAAAATAAGTTACAGAACTGAATAAAAGAGAAAACAAAGGGAGCAACAAGAGAATGTGATCAGAACAAACAGCATGATGAAGGGAGTGATATCATCGCTATATGGGCAGAGCTGTGGCAAATCATATGAGGGAAGCTGTGAAGTATGAAAGACAGGAAGCAAAATCTAGGAGTTACCAGAAATTGTCCAGTCTTTACTGCAATGGTGCTCTAAAAAGTTGGGTTTATGTGAAACATGCTTAATTTCTTTCAGATCAAGAGGTCAGGTTTTATCTGCTGAAAGTTAACATAGCTTGACTTCAGTGGAGCTATATTCTTCCTTATGCTGTGAACAGTTTCTTCACATGACCAACCCAGATAACGCTCTCACTACTTTAGTAGCTGTTTCCACCACAAACTCACTGCTGCAGGAATGTTATAAAGAGCTCTGAGACCTCTGAAAATCATAATGGACTGTATATGATTAGGTTAATTATCATAAAACAAACAACTCAGCCAAACATGAACTTCTGTGTTTTTAATTTAATTAAGCAGTTTTGGTTTTCTACATAGAAAGAGTCAGAAAAAAACATTGCTTGTATTAGGAGTGTCATGGGTTCACAGAATTTCAAATCTGAAAGGACCCTTAAATGATCTAGTCTGACTTCTTGGTTATCACATATCATTAAATTTTACTCGGTATCCTTGTACTTTGCCCAGTAAGTTGGTTTAGCTAAGGAATATATTCCAGAAAGGCCTCTAGTCTTGATTTGAAGACATCAAGAGATATAGAATCCACTATTACTTTTCGTAGCTTTTTCCAGTGGTTAATCACTCTCCCTGTTAAAAATTTGTGCTCGAATAAAAATGTATTTTCCTACAAACTGTGACCTTTGTTTTCCATACATGATGCATATCACCTGCACTTCCACTGCTCAAAGGGTCCAGCATTGTTTACCTCCAGTGAGACTACTCATCACTTTTGCTGTTTTGCACTGAAAAACTTGTATTCAGACATATGGCCAATCACAAACTACAGAATATTCCATAACCAAACACAGAGGAGAGGGACGCATGCTAGACATAGAAGTTGTGTTTTCAACTAGTAAATATTATTCCAACAAAAGTTTCTAAACATTTTAAAAATCCCTTTGGAACCCCTAAGTCTTGCTAGAGTGTAACAATGAGTAATCAAAACAAACAGCCCATTGCAAATGGTTTTTAACTGCACAATCAGACCTAATGTTAACATTAAAAGCTGGATGAACTTTCTAAGGGGCATGGACAGCTCTGGCTGGGGGGAAAAAAGCTTCAGAATAGTATATTCAGCTCAAGCTTAAAGCTTTCTTCATGATGGGCAGAAGGCTGGGCACAAAAACATGTACAGGGACAAAAGAACTCCTCTGCTATGACTGAAGATATGCACTCTGTGGCTGCGTCTAGACTGGCAAGTTTTTCCGCAAAAGCAGCTGCTTTTACAGAAAAACTTGCCAGCTGTCTACACTGGCCGCTTGAATTTGTGCAAGAGCACTGACGATCTAATGTAAGATTGTCAGTGTTCTTGAGTAAATACTATGATGCTCCCGCTCAGGGATGAGTCCTCTTGCGCAAATGCTTGTGCGCAAGAGGGCCAGTGTAGACAGGTAAGAACTGTTTTGTGCAAAAAAGCCCTGATGGCGAAAATGGCGATTGAGGCTTTCTTGCGCAAAACCATGTCTAGATTGGCACGGATGCTTTACCTTTGGCAAATCTAGACGCTCTTTTCCGCAAATGCTTTTAACGGAAAAACTTTTCCATTAAAAGCATTTGCGGAAAATTATGCCAGTCTAGACGTAGCCTGTGAGTTCTGCTGAGCTAATCTGAAAATATGCCATTCATGTGTTCCAAAGGAATAGAATTTGATCCTTCTACTGTTTATTCTTTGTCTGTGTTCATAAGTGAACACATTATCTTGTTCTCTACAAACAAAGTTTACTGATTACTTTTATACTTACACGTGACATAGCTAAATCTATCAGGATGACACATTCAATAAAACAAAACAGCTGGTACTTACTTTGGGGCAATGACGACAGTGTTTCCTTTTGGCAATAAGAAATCAGCAAACTCCCTTCCTACAATTGTAGCACTGTACACCAAAGGTTTCAAGCTCGGGTTTTTCAGACGCACCTATCATGACAATAGATAAAACTTATTCGATTTTTACTTATTTACTTTTAAAACTGAAAAATGTATCCATTGTCCTGTTTTGCGGGGCATACATGTAACATAGAAAATACACTTTGGCTACGTCTACACTGATCTAGACGCGCTTTTGCGGAAATACTTTTAACGGAAAAGCTTTTCCGTTAAAAGTATTTCCGCAAAAGCGCGTCTAGATTGGTACGGATGCTGTTGCGCAAAAGCATCTGTGGCCAGTCTAGACGCGATTTTGCGCAAGAAAGCCCCGATCGCCATTTTAGCAATCGGGGCTTTTTTGCACAAAACAGTACTTCACTGTCTACACTGTCCCTCTTGCGCAAGTATTCTTGCACAAGAGGGCTTTTTCCCGAGCGGGAGCATGAAAGTATTTGCGTAAGAAGCACTGATTTTGTACATTACAAAGTCAGTGCTATTGCGCAAATTCAAGTGGCCAGTGTAAACAGCTGTCAAGTTTTTGGGCAAAAGAGACTGCTTTTGCACAAAATCTTGCCAGTCTAGACACACCCCAGAAGTCTAGCGCAAGAATAGCTGTTCTTGCGCAAAGCTTGCGGAGCGTCTACACGTTCTTGCTCAAGTAAATATACAGTAAAGCATTAGAACAGATGGCTTCTTGCATAAGAGTTATTCCTCTCCCCATGAGGAATAAGCCTCTTGTGCAAGAGCTCTTGTGCAAGAAGGCAGCGAGGATGGGAAACACTGGTTTCTTGCGCAAGAAACTTCTATGTCTAAAATGGCCATCAGAGTTTTCTTGCGCAAGAGAGCATCCACACTTCCACTGACGCTCTTGCACAAAAGCACATGGCAGTGTGGATGTGCTCTTGTGCAAGACCTTTTGCGCAAGAACTCTTGCACAAAACAGATCTTGCGCAAGAAGCCTGCAGTGTAGACATAGCATTTAGCTACAAATAAAGTAATAGACTCTTACCCTGGATAAAATCTTTGAACATATATCAGGATGGCCCAATGTTTTGTGCCATTCATGTGGATCTCCTAATAATTCACACAGAACTATGCAGACTAGGACTATAACAGAGTTTAAAGAGAAGCTAGATAATTTCATGGAGGTTATGTCCATAAAAGGCTATTAGCCAGGGGATAGAAATGGTGTCCCTGGCCTCTATTTGTCAGAGGCTGGAGAAGGATGGCAGGAGACAAATCGCTTGATCATTGTCTTCGGTCCACCCCCTCTGGGGCATCTGGTGTTGGCCACTGTCGGCAGACAGGCTACTGGGCTAGATGGACCCTTGGTCTGACCCAGTATGGCCATTCTTATGTTCTTATGACTCTATTCCCACAGATATTTCAGGCTCTGTTGCTCTTAGCAATTTCGCTCTCATTGGATCCTTCAAACATTATAACCCCACATTAACAGCTGCTCTCTCGTTTCTCTCTATAATCACCACTAGACTCGTGGAGAAGCTGCTGTGCTGACTGAAAGCAGTGGAGGAAATCAGGAACCCAAATCAGAAGAAAAGAGGACCATTATTCCTCATTCTGTAATCTCAGCATTGAGTAGCATATGGGAACATATGCTCCATTAAGATGAAAATGAATATTTTATGTAAATAAAGAGTAAGTTTTGGTGCTAGCAGTGTTTTAGATCTACCAGTACCTGTCTAACAACAGTAGCATGGAGAGCTCCAGTAAACTCAATAGTCTTCTTGGGTAAATACTGAGGCAGCCTTTCATACAAATAGACGCAGAGCATAAGCATCATGATCGGGTTTGGATCACAGATGTCGGAGGCCTAATTTTAAAAAGGGGGGAAAATGACCACCAGATATTTAGTCTAATCTCAAGATACAGAATTTTAAATACAAAATACCTCATTAATGTACACACTTATTTTCAAAAAAGTTTTTAAAGTTTTGCATTAGTTTTATAACTAATATGAACAATTTCATTACCATCTTGAATATGAATCTTTTCTCAGCATATTAAAAATGTCAAAAGGATCAATTATATAATCTAGTAAGAACTCTCATGAACTATACTGTGAAAGGAAGAAAGTTATTGTGCACTTTTCTTCCACAGTTTGGAGGAAAACAGGCAATCATTTGATTAGCAGTGTAATATAACGAAAATGCAGATAAAATTCAGTGATTGGAGAATTATATTTCTTAAGCAGTTCTCTAATAAGCCACATTTTTGTCATGATTTCAACAGCAACAAATTATATGGCAACATCAATGATAGTGAACGCCAGCAGCTAATTCACTGGCAAACCCAAGACAACACAGCCCCTTTCCCCCACAAAGACTACTTCTCCCCCACCATAATAACTCCAAAATTCCTACTTCCTTCCAATCTAAATTAATAGATAAGCCTTTTAACATACCCTAACACATCACCAAATACGGTATAGTTCAGTGAAAGAATGGGAAAGGTTCTAAACTGAGGGTCCCTCACAGAGACACTCCTCACAGATTAAATCAAGGGGACCCTAACTCTAATCCCTCTGTTGATCCTAATTACTGAGACAAGGTGGGTGCGATAACTGACCCGCTTCAGTTGGCCATAGAGACAAGCTTTTACATTTACACAGAGCTCTTCCTCAGGACCAGGAAAGAAACTAAGAGCATCACAGCTAAACACAAGATGGACCAGATAGCTTATCATAACTTGTTAGCACATATTCTAAAAGACCATTCAAGATAGAGAGGCCTGTTAACATCTGTGCAGTCGTAAGACAAAACGAGAATGTTAATGGGTTACAGATTATTACAATAAACCATAGATCCAGTGTCACTGTTCATGATTTCTGGTGTCTAGTAGAGTATTGCATTTAAGCTTCAGGATCTTTTGAAAGTGTTGTGTAGATTCCTTTGAGAATGAAAATTGATAGGTCACCTATAGAGGTTGTGAGGTGTTCATCCACAGATGATAAGGTCTTTTTATTTTTTGTCAGCTTCCTGCATGTGTTCATTTCAGAACACAGTAATTGTCTGGTTTCACCCAAAATACTGTACACAATTATGGTAATACAGCATTGAGACAGAGTCATTCACAAATAAAAATTACTAAACATTTATTCTGATTAACTACATTTATCATAATTTTCCATAGGACTAAATTTTGCATCCTCTATAGTGTCTATCTTATTTTTACTACAAACTCTAAGCCATTATTCTAATAATGAAGGAAGTAGTTGTGGTATTAAAGAAAAAGCTCTTTAAATATTTAAACGGAAATAAAGTCTCACCAAATGCATTTGATAGCTAACTATCTTTGCCAATATCTGAGTATTATCCAGCAACTTAATCATGAAAATTCATAAAACTTCCAGTGGAACAGGATAAATAAAAAAGAGAAACTTAACAGCTGTCCTGTCCAAACCTTGCTTCCTGATGTGAAGCTCTAAAGCAACATTATTAGCCTTACATACTATATTGCTTTAATATGTTTACAACTAGATCAACCAATTCTATCATCGATGTAATGATGATATGATAAGAACTGCATATTAAAAATATAACATGGCTGTTTTGCCATATCTTGTATCTGGTACGAATGCTATATTGTCATCTTAAAAAATTAAAAAAATATATATAACATGAATCAAGGTTATTTAAACTTTTGTCTGGACAGAGTTTGATTAAGAATTTTTACTCCTATAATAAAGCTGAAGTCACTTAGAGGTGGTGTCTACAGATATTTCTTCCTTTCCCAATCAATACTCCCCAAAACTATAATAAAAGTTTCTAGCTGATTTCCTTAAAAAACAAAGGAGCATATTTTAAATGATTTCAGAAACATAATTTTTATAAGAAACAGAAAACTCTAGTGAATGCATAGTTCTAGGTTTTATATGAGTAGTTCTAGGTTTTATAACTGCCTCAAAACAACTGAGATAATGTCTTAACACTGGAAGATAATAAGCCTAATGTAGTCACCTCTGAAAAGCAACTCTGTGGGCAAGATTTATTTCCCCAGGTATTCTTATTTTCAGCCTTGAAATCAAACTGAAATTGCTTTCTAATTATAAGGAACTTGTGGTAACTGTGGTTACTCAACTTGCAAATATTAGTGAAAGAAAGTGTGAGTTTAAGGATTACAGTTATTAACAATATTGACAAAAGCAAGGATGTATTTAAAGTTTAGGAATAAAAGAAAATTTGTATTTCCATTTTTAAATGTTTTCCTTCTCATACCATCTCTAATGTTGGAATGTATGTAGGAATGAAGTGAAATTTTTTTCCTGCAAACATGTCAATTGTCCTAAGAGTGGGCCAGTTTTATTAGTGGTGGGCCAATCTTTCTAGTGACTGGATGCACATGTAGTTGCGCAGCACATTCACATGTCACAGAGAAACAAAATGGCATCTTACTAGTATATCTTGTACTTTGTATGTCTGATGCATTTGGGATACAGAAGAACAGACCCCTGGGTGGATTCCTGCCCCTTACCTACCAGTTTGACCAATATCTTTATTACAAGATTACCAAATCATTTTACATGAAAGCACATTGTTCTGGTACTTGTGAAGAACAAGACAACTCAATTTCAAAATTCCAGAAGTTGATGATATCTGATGTATCCAGGCGTATATCCTCTCTGAGGCAAAAAAACAAAATCAAGGAATAGGTACATAAGAGGTCTATCCCTGAATTCAGAAATATATACAGTGAGTTTTCATGGGAACATGAGGCAGAAAGGAGCTGACCCTCTTAATCAGCTTCTTCTAACCCACAGAGGTCCTATGAAATAGTTTTCAAATTGGTTGTAAGAGAGTCAAAGCATGATTTGAAGCTGACAATTCTGTACTGTCCTGATTCTCAAAGCTATGGTTTCATGCTGATTGACAGGAACACAAGATTTGGCAACATATCCCTCCCTCATCTCCTTGCACCGTGTGCTACCCCCAGCCCAAGTGCTAGCTCTGAAGCTCTCATTGGCCAAGAACCTCGACCACCTTGGGGGGTGCCTGCAAACAGAGCAAGTACATGGAATAGGAGCAGAACAAAGAACATGTCACCGTTTCCAGGGAACCCTCCAAGATAAGTGTCACCCAGAGTCCTCAAACCATCCCAGACCCCTCCCAATCCCCAACCTTCACATTTCCCACACCTAAACTCCAGCTGCTGGGAGAGGGGATGCAGAGGCCCAATATTGACTCAGCAGCAGGCAGTGCAGATGGCCCAGGAGCTGCTTGAAGTGCACAGGCAACCCCCAGGGACAGCAGCAGTGGCTACTGCAGAAGTCACAAACGTCTCAGAAAGTCATGGAATCAGTTACTCCTGTGACAGACTCAGGGCCTTACCTATAACAACATATATTGATAGGAAAAGGAAAGAAAGGAAAACAGAAAAACAGAAAAATGGAATTACTCTGAGCATGATCTGTGAAAATGGTGTATGTGGAATCAAAAATTAACAAAATAAAATTAACATATTAGATAAAATAATAAAGGGATGGGTTATTCTATCCAGTATTCGTCCTTAAAGACAGAAACTTGGGGACAAAATGGAAGAACAGACACAGGCTACTTAACAGAGCTTCACCAGCATGGCTGCCAACTCCAACATTTCCTGGGACCCTGAGCCTTTGTCATCCTTATCCTGTGAGATGTCCTGACTGAACTGGGCTAACCAGAGAGAGAATGAGAGAAATCCAGATGGCATCACCCCTACCAGCTGCAGCTGAATCCTAAATATCACCTGCCATGAAATGGGACTAGACTAACAGCAATAGCTCCAAATCATCTCAATTAATTTCTTGTCCTTTACTCAAGAGTTCAGTTATTACTATTTTTGACACTATCTACAACTATCAAACAAAAGGGCTGTATCTACACTGGCAAGTTTTTCTGGAAAATCTTATGATTTTCCAGAAAAACTTGCCAGCTGTCTACACTGGCCGCTTGAATTTCCGGAAAAGCACTGACAATCTAATGTAAAATCATCAGTGCTTTTCCAGAAAAACTATGGTGCTCCCATTCAGGCAAAAGTCTTTTTCCAAAAGACTTTTGCCCGAAAGCGCCAGTGTAGACAGCATAGTTCTGTTTTCCGCAAAAAAGCTTCGATCGCGAAAATGGCAATTGGGGCTTTTTTGCAGAAAAGTGCGTCTAGATTGGCCTGGGACGCTTTTCCGCAAAAAGTGCTTTTCCGGAAAAGCGTCCTGCCAATCTAGACGTGCTTTTCCGAAAATGCTTTTAACAGAAAACTTTTCCGTTAAAAGCATTTCCAGAAAATCATGCCAGTGTAGACGTAACCAAGGGTTCTACAAATCTCTCTAACTGAAGAGAAAGGGAACACAGGATATTGTTTAAAAATAAAAGTCTTATTTAATACTTTATTTTTCAAATGCTTTAACTGTTTCTCCTTCTTTTTCTTTATCTTTAATAAATGGTTGAAGAGATGTTATTGTTTGCCCCATGTTACCACACAGGCTGAGGTCTCTACACCAAACCATGTTCAATGTTTAATGTTAGACACAACTGTACTATGTGAACACCTTTAGTCCATCTAAATCCATACAAAAGGTCTTGAGCTGTGTATTCCAGCTACTGAGGTCTTGCTAGTCAAACCACAGAAGAGGGGAACTTCTCCTCCCATGATGATAGGCCTCAATAACCTTAACAGTACCAGACTAGCATTTCATATGTGTACTGTGGACTACTAGGTTGATGGCCAAACCAATGCCAGTCCTGGTAGGTTAGTGGCATAGATATATAAAGAAGGTCACGGTTGCGGTGGTACAACTTATAGAATTTATCAGAGACAATTCCCTGATGGATGCCAACAAAA